TAAAATTATTTGAAATGTTACTAATTTATAATAATTCACAAAAAGTTGGGTCGCATTCAAAAAGGAGATAAAGTGTTGATTACAGCTTCTGCAGGAGGAACGGGACATATTGGCATCCAATGGGCTAAACAAAAGGGCGCTTATGTTATTGGGTTGACTTCATCTGAAGATAAGGCAAAACTGTTGAAAGAGTTGGGAACCGATCGAGTGATCAATTATAAGACCGAGAATTTGGATGAAGTGCTCACTAAAGAGTTTCCGGTTTAACACACTTTTAATANCCAATGGGCTAAACAAAAGGGCGCTTATGTTATTGGGTTGACTTCATCTGAAGATAAGGCAAAACTGTTGAAAGAGTTGGGAACCGATCGAGTGATCAATTATAAGACCGAGAATTTGGATGAAGTGCTCACTAAAGAGTTTCCGGTTTAACACACTTTTAATATAAAGTTTTTGCTCTAAATTATTATTATTTAAATTGATTACATAGAATGGAGTGGACGTTGTTTGGGAGACAATTGGTGGACAAGTATTTGAAACTCTATTAAATCATTTGGTACCAAAGGGTAGATTAATAATTGTTGGCTCTATTAGTGGATATAAGTCTGAAAGAATAACATCGCCTACCATTGAAAACCTTAACTTTAAAGTTGGTTTTAGTTTTTGTATTATATATTTTATACATTTATCTATAATTATTCTAATTGTTAATTATTATTAAGTTAATAACAGGCTCTAAGACTCTATCAGGGTTTTGTCTACCCGACTACAAGGATTTATACGCCAAATATTTGAAACAATTGATTGGAGACGTTGTGAACAATAAACTGCGAGTTGTGTTAGATTTGGGACAAAACACAAGTGAAGGAGAATTCACTGGAATTGATTCAGTCGTCAGAGGGGTTGAGGTATTTGAAGACAGGATTTGACTTCATCTGAAGATAAGGCAAAACTGTTGAAAGAGTTGGGAACCGATCGAGTGATCAATTATAAGACCGAGAATTTGGATGAAGTGCTCACTAAAGAGTTTCCGGTTTAACACACTTTTAATAACGTTTTAAAGTTTTTGCTCTAAATTATTATTATTTAAATTGATTACATAGAATGGAGTGGACGTTGTTTGGGAAACAATTGGTGGACAAGTATATGAAACTCTATTCAATCATTTGGCACCAAAGGGTAGATTAATAATTGTTGGCTCTATTAGTGGATATAAGTCTGAAGGCATAACATCGCCTAACATTGAAAGCCTTAAAGTTGGTTTTAGTTTTTGTATTATATATTTTATACATTTATCTATAATTATTCTAATTGTTAATTATTATTAAGTTATTAAGAGGCTCTAAGACTCTATCAGGGTTTTATCTACCCGACCACAAGGATTTATACGCCAAATATTTGAAACAATTGATTGGAGACGTTGTGAACAATAAACTGCGAGTTGTGTTAGATTTGGGACAAAACACAAGTGAAGGAGAATTCACTGGAATTGATTCAGTCGTCAGAGGGGTTGAGGTATTTGAAGACAGGATTCATTTAATTACAAAATTGTTAAATTATTTCATTGTTTTATTTATAAAGCATTTGCATTTGGGTCGCAATATTGGAAAAGTTATCATTAAAATACAGAATATTTAATAAGAATTAAATGTATTTACGGTAATAAAAGTAATTTAATTAAAATCTATAGAAGTAGTAATTTTTTATACAATTTACAGTATAATTATGAAAACAATTTACTGTATAAAATTATATTTTAATATTAATAACCAAGTAAATAAGCTTGTAAAGTAAAAATTATAATTCTTAAATAATGAATGAAATAAATATTAAATTCTAGAATTTTATGGAATTTTACATGTAAATGTATTATAGCATATTGTAATACCTTACATAGAATAAAATACTAATATTTAATATTTAATATAACAATTTAAAATGGTATGCAATAAAATGAGAAATGACAACCATATGACATCTGATGCCATAATAGCGGCGGGAGTTTTGTTGGGTGTGTTCATCATAATTATGATAATCCCATTACTAGTGTTTTGTTATACCGTCTCCAATATGTATCAAAAGAAATATAAAACCAAAGCCAAGAAAAGAAGCGGAAAATTTGGAGACTTGGACTCAAAACTCAAACTCAAAGTAAAAGTGGACGACATGTCAGACACTAGTGTTCAACAGAATCCACATTTAGGCGCAAATGAAACGAATGCCACGAATTGAGACCAGAATATCAATAATTTATATTGGACTCAAAACTCAAACTCAAAGTAAAAGTGGACGACATGTCAGACACTAATGTTCAACAGAATCCACATTTAGGCGCAAATGAAACGAATGCCACGAATTGAGACCAGAATATCAATAATTTATCATTTATATATGTTTGCAGAATTGTTACTATTTATGAATAAAATTTAATTACAGAATAAAAAGATTTTATTGATGAAGAATTTAATATGTATTCAATATAACACATAAAAGTAATTATATAATGAACTTAAATTTAATTAAAAACACAAATATAAATATCTAGACAATTACAAGTTATGTTAACATTTATTTAGATTTAGTGTCTGATGTAGTATTTGGTGTATCTGTAGGACCAGTGTTTGTGTTGTTTTGTTGGTCTCCTTTAGGTATATCTGTATGACTCATGTCTTTAGAGCCTTTAACTTCTCCTGTCTTAGAGTCTACCGTCTCTATTGTCTGCAAAGTGATGATACTTTTAGTCCGAGGCTTTTCCTTTCAATTTCTAACTCTTGAACTGTGGACTTGTGTTTGAGCACAATATAAAAGTCTCGCCAAAACTCTTGACACTAGATTATTTAAATTAAATGTATGTTAGGATTGAGCTAGAACAAAATTAAAAAATTTTCAACTATTGTTTTTAGGGACCATTACAACCATATGACCCTTTCCATCCAGATGTGAAGGGAACGGTATGGGGAAAGGGATGTTGAGATTACAAAAAGTATAAGGGATATTAAAGTTCTTAAACCCTTGACACTAGATTATTTAAATTAAATATATGTTAGGATTGAGCTAGAACAAAATTTAAAAATTTTCAACTATTGTTTTTAGGGACCATTACAACCATATGACCCTTTCCATCCAGATGTGAGGGGAACGGTATGGGGAATGGGATGTTGAGATCACAAAAAATATAAGAGATATCAAAGTTAAAATATTTTTACAGGTAAAGGTGTAAAACAATAAGATTAATTAATTAAGTGATAAATTAATTGCATTGGAAATATTGATTTGCAGAATACAGGGTTTGTTGTTCTTGGTACACTGTTCGTGCCAGCAAATGATTTTTAGTGTTTTGAAAGATCTTACAAACCCTGCTGAGAGAACCCAAATACATTGACCCATTGCTGAGATAACTACGCCTAAAAATGACAATTTTTGACATTTAGGGAATTTTTATAAATCAACGGAGTAAAATTTCGACAAATCCAGAAATTACTTTTCTAGGAATGACCTTGCGCATCATTTCCAAAAATCAGAACTTTAATATCCCTTATACTTTTTGTAATCTCAACATCCCTTTCCCCATACCGTTCCCTTCACATCTGGATGGAAAGGGTCATATGGTTGTAATGGTCCCTAAAAACAATAGTTGAAAATTTTTAAATTTTGTTCTAGCTCAATCCTAACATATATTTAATTTAAATAATCTAGTGTCAAGGGTTTTGGCGAGACTTTTATATGATAATTGCGACCAATAGAGGAATCATAACAATTGAGATCAACCCCAATGAGACCAATAAGACCATCCAAATAGAGACCGAGTTCTCAGAAGAATTGCTCTGATTTTGGGCGCATTTTGGGGCAAACAAAGTGAATAAAGTGAGATCTGTTTGAATGAGTTGTCGATGAGATGTGGAGAACTCGTATCGGAATATCTTAGAGACGCGTTCACTATCTTTGCTGTCGAAGTGGATGTGGTCTCCGATCGCAAGGAGCTTGTTTATTTAAGTAACAATTGTCAAACATTAATATTTAACAAATATAACGCAATTTTAAAGATTTTTAAGCGATTATCTAACAATTTTCGGGTGAAAATGACTTTATTAATTAATTAAATTAATATTAAATTTTTGGATATTAAATTAATATCATCGAATTCTACGTAAAATTCTCTATAAAATTGATATATCATGTTGACATTTTATATAAAATATTTCCCGACAAATGTGGTCACTGCGGCCGAACCAGAGGTTATAGAACAATATAAATTACATATTCTGACTCAACATTGAATGGTCGTTCATATACAATCAAAAAATCCCGTTTGCCAGTTAGCCAATTCTGTATTGTATTATGACAGTGTTCTTTTAATAAAAGTGGGAAAATTAATTGACTTGGGTAACGCTGACAGACCAGTATGATCATTACTTGGAAATCAATATTGAACTTATCAACTACATTAACACTAAAAAACAGTTTGTACGACAATTTTTACAAGCTTAATCTTTTAAAGTTGAGGAGCTATGCAATAGAGGGTTGGTTTGGCGCTCTCTCCGAAGGCATTCACTATAAAAACCAATTCAAGGAATTGCGGCACAAATACGACGGGTCGGGAGTCCCTGATCTCAAACTCCTGGGGCCAAAGAGGGCCCTCCAGTTTGGAACCCATAGGCGTCATATTCCACGGCATATCTCTTGAGCTCTTGATCTCCTCTTTCTGTGAGCCGCCAT